TTTTGGACAAACACTTAAAATGGGATACCCATACATGTATTATTCCAAAATTCAGGTACTTCAGAGATATTCTAGATAAGAAATATCTATATAATCTATATTATGCTCTTGTTTATCCCCTATTACTTTACGGAATTTTGGCTTGGGGGGGAGTTATGAATAATAATTACAAAAAGGTTGAGGTAATCCAAAAATTAATTCTAAAATTGATCCTCCATAGGCAGATTACTTATTCAAGTGATTTTCTATATGTGGAGGCTCAGCTATTAGATTGCAGACAAATTTATTTTTATTGTGGTCTAATACATTATTTCAAATATTCAAAATACTTTAATCGTACCATTCATAACTACCCAACAAGATTCAATCAAAATTCAATGTTTATTCCACAAACATCAAAAACCATTACACAACGATCTCTGTTTTTCTTGGGACCAAAATTATATAACTTCATACCAGAGTCATTAAAAGTGATTAAATCAAATAAATCATTTAAAAAACAACTAAAAAAATGGATTTTACAACAACCAAGGTACTCCATCCACGAAAATGTAGATCTGAAAAATCATTATCAAAATCAATAATATTTTACTTACACTAACATCCATACTTTTACTTCAGTTCTAATTGTCTGGATATTTTTCACCAAATTATACAGTATTAACGGGTTTTTTCTTTTTTTTTTCATACACTGACTATACTATTAGTTTTTATTTTGTACAAACCCAAACACAAGTGCAAACTTTTTTGGGTGCTTTATGTTTATTGTGCACAATACTTGATATTTACTTGTATTTTTTGACAATAAACATTATTATTATTATAAAAGTGTTGTTTCTGTGAATTTCGCTAGATTAACCTAACAAAAAATACCTGACTTTTAAAGTGGATGATAATGTGAACTTTTTTGTTTGACAATTTTTGCTGTATCTCTAAAAATAAACCCAACTAACAATTATCACTCCTATTAGAGTTGCAAGAATGATTATACAGTATTCCTTAAACAGCATTGTATACTGTAAGAACATTGGCAAAACGCTCTTAGAACAGCTATACAAGCGGAATGGGCACACCTAATAGGATACTTCGGTCATTTAAGAGGTTAGATAAGGGCTGCAGGTAACAGTTATAAAACAAAAGTGTAAGCCTCTTGCAGCCGCTATAGGACATTTGCGTTAGTTCAAGATTCAGTTTTTGTCAACTATACAACTATTCTGTTACGTGATTCTACTTTATTGCAAAAAAACTATTTCTTATGTATTGTATAGACGAAGTGAAGAATATATAACTAACACATTACAGTCATCTTGTTTATGTACATATCGGCCATTGTGAATTTCATACACAGGTATATGATAAACTTCTACACTGTGATATAGGGCTATTGAATTACTTGCGCAGCAAATTTTATTGTGATTATCGTGCAAATTAGTTACCCAATTTCTACGGGCTTCGTATTTGATTCATATTTTGACAATGATCAAAAGTATGTCTAGATTTTTAAGATGGGAAACTGAACTTATCTGCGTTAAATCTTCCACAAATCCTATATTTAGACACAATTACACTAATGTTTATCACGTTATATTTGTAATTTCGAACTGAAACATAATTATTTAATATTAAATAGAGGAATAAATGTTTGCCCAATATGGCGGGTGGTTGTGTACAATCATGGCATCGTCCAGGTTGTCTTTAGGTTATTAGAATCTTTTGGTGTTGCCTGCAGGTGTTATACAACAATTTGACAAATGTCTGAAATGAAATACCGACAGAGTCGAATGATTTACCCAGAATTTGTATCAGATCTATATCTTCTGTTTGAACAGTTGATAAAACCTTTTGAACCAATATGCATGCATTGTTTGTCTTAAAACATTGGTTATGGCATTTTAACAAAAATATGACAGCAGAAAGTTAGGTTATGGTAAAGTTGTTTACCAACATATTTAGCATATGTACAGCCTTTAACAGTTACTAAACAACAGTTGTATAAATGCTTCCGTTGGGAGCAATTTGTTGGCTAAGGTAGTAAACTGCACAGCAAAACAACAAGGCTCGGGGGGTTTGTTTTATAAACGTTACCATGGATGCCACAACACAACCATTTTGGCTAACTTGCAAATATGCCGTATAAAATAGTTGTGTAAACGTTTATGCAACAGTTAAAAATTTGTCCTATAACGTGTTGTATAACTATGCTATAAGAATATTTTAAACACCTCATTTTAGAGCAAGTATGTTGCAGAAAGCAAATTTGCATTCCACACAACATTAAGCCAGCATTTTGGTGTTCAGACAACCACAATAGAGAGCTTTTATGGCTGAACGATTCTTTTACCAAAAGCTTATACCACTACTTTGCTAGTTGGGAAGTGGTAGGGGTATTCAAACGTTTCCATAAAAAACACCATGTGTCTTTGAAACGGCTGAGCCGATTTCAACAAACTTGGGTTAGTTGAAAAGAGCTATTCTTGGGCTACAAATGTTATAATATTTGAAGTATTGTTAGTTTCACATGTGGCCGCTCATATTGAAGTACCTGTATCTCGAATTAAAGACATGTTATGACAGTTTGTATTCTTGTGTCGAGAAATCTTTTTTGTGACGAACGAAGGTTTGAGACTTCCTTCATATAAACCTGACTGTTATAGGTCCCAAAAAACAGATACTCAAGACTCAAGATAAAATAGCTTTTCACCATTTGGCTGGCCGTTACTTGATCAGAGAATCGCTACCCAGGAAGCAGGCTTTCACGACCCTTCGGGATGAAGAATACAAAATAATGCACGGTTTGAAACGAGGAACCCTCAAATAAAAAATACAAATACGAAATGGTGGATTGGCGACAAAAATATCATATAACATGATTGTTGTTTTAAATGAACAAAAATATTCACATGTTTATGAATATATCATTAATGTCGAGGCAGTATTTTCAAAATATACTTGACAAACATACTTGTTATTTATGTAACAATAACTCAAGACGTGTTGATTTTATTACCAACGGTGGAAATTAAAGATAATTCTAAAATAAAATAATAAGTCGCATCAAAATTTAAATATACTAAGTGACATATAAATCCGAACACCCAGTTTAAATGGTTTTATTTTAATAAAAGTTGGTGAATGTATTTATCTTACTGTAAATAACAAGTGAAAAAATTTTCAGCCTTATCAGTTGGACATTCCCGTTTTTATACTGCTTTTTTTTAATTCACTAACGCTCTAAAAATGAATATTTCAGCCGCAGCAAAGAATCAACGTTGGCGGATTTTGGTTCTTGACATCCTTTACGATCGGTTACAATGCCTAGAGTACGGAGACCTGTACGATTTCGTCAACTTAGTGAGTTTGATAGGGGCCGTATAGTGGGACTTCGGGAAGCTGGACTTTCTTTTCGGGCAATTGCAGTTAGAGTGTAGACACTGTGGTTAGGTGTTGTCAGGCATGGCTTCGAGAAGGCCGTACGCAAAGAGCAAGGGGCACTGGACGCCGCCGTAGAACAACAGACCGTGAAGATCGCCGCCTAAGATTATTGGCCTTAAGGGACCGTTTCTCCACTACCAGGTCCACTGCAAATGAATGGTTTGCAGAACACGGAAGACCTATTGGCATGCGAAGTGTTTACCGACGAATGAGAAGTTTTGGCTTGTTTTCATACCGGCCACACTGGGTCCTCCCTTTAACTCGAGAACACCAATCGCCTTGAGTGGTGCAGACAACGGTCACTCTGGGATCAGGAATGGAACAGTATTGTCTTTAGTGACGAGTCTCGATTTTGTTTAGGCATGCACGATGGTCGTGCCAGGGTTAGAAGGCGACGTGGTGAAAGGAGGAATCCACAGTTTTTTGTTGAAAGACATGTTCATCACACTGTTGGAGTTATGGTTTGGGGTGCTATAGCTTATGGTTCCAGGTCACCTTTAATCTTCATCAGAGGTAACATGAACGCGCAGCGTTATATCCACGAAGTTCTAGAACCCCATCTTTTACCCTATCTTGACACCCTGGCAGATCCAACTTTCCAATAAGATAATGCCCGACCACATGTTGCAAGAGTCACAATAGACTTCTTTCAACATAATGATGTCACATTGTTACCATGGCCACCAAGATCTCCCGACTTATCCCCAATTGAGCACGTGTGGGATATGATGGGTAGCAGATTGCTCAATTTGCAACGTCCTCCTCAGACTCTAGAAGCACTTCGAGAGGAGTTGGTGGTTGCCTGGTATGAGATACCACAGGAGGACATTGACCACCTGATCAGAAGCATGCCTAGGCGCGTTGGAGAATGCGTAGCACATCAGGGTGCATCCACACATTATTAAAGGTCAAAGGGCTTTAAAGCAGTGCAATCATTTTGAAATTTTTATCATTTACTTATTATGCTTCATTAAGCACTTATACAAAATTTTATTAAAATAAAACCATTTAAACTGGGTGTTCGGATTTATATGTCACTTAGTATGATTAATTCTGATGAAAATGAAAACAAAATATCAAATTAAATGTACGATCATACCTCCTCCTTGGGTTTAGCAGTAAGCTAACCTATTGTAGCAGCCTGTGTGAACATTTTCTGGTGTAACATATTGGCAACGTGGTGATGACGTTCCATTTTTAGCCGGCTCCTATCTCTTTTTAACTTGTCTTGATACATACTTCTCGCGTTTCTCTCTCGTACACATTGAACTCAAGCCGTCAGACAAATTTGGTTTTCCCTGCTTCGCTATACAGCCGGGTTCTATCTTTTTCTAACATATGTTTCTAGTCGCGAATCAAAATCGACCAATCAGAAGGCGTTTTTTAAGTGATAGATCTAATGAATATAGTCGATTTCTTCTAAAATACACGTAACTCTAAGATTTGCAAAATATTATACGATTTGGGCAAGAATAGGCATTATCTTTATATTAAATCAAGACATTTATAAATAACCTGGTTTAGCTACAAAAATTAATTAGTATCATTTTGAAAAATCTTGTTTTCAGATTGTTAAACGTTTAGATCCTCATATAGGCTTATTGCACCGAGGTACCGAAAAACTAATTGAACACAAAACTTATATGCAAGCTATGCCATACTTTGATAGACTGGACTACCTCTCCTGTATGGCGAATGAGCATGCATACTGTCTAGCCGTGGAAAATCTGCTGGGGATAGAAGTACCGCGTAGAGCAAAATACATAAGGTTTGTATGCTTTAGACCCGATTTTACTATCTAAAAACTTCTGGATCATAATAGACCAATGAAAACGCGTCTTTCTAGTAGTGGTTCAAACGAATATAGTTGATTATCTGTCAAACTAGCGAAAAAATATACGAGTTGGATAAGAAGGGCCTCTAATCGCCGTACTAAATCAAGAAATTATTCATAAATAACTTGGTTTAGCTACAAAAACATATTTTTCCACTTGATCCGGAGATCTAGACCTATGCTTCAGATCAACAATGACCAATTAGAATGCGTTTTCGTAAAAGTGCATCGAAACATTGGCTAATCGGAAACAAGTACCATAAGCCCACATTGTAGATGAACCAAATTCAAAACAAACATAACCACCTGAAACAATTATGAAAAAAGTCTTTTGGAAGTTTACAACTGGCTTAATTCCCTACCCCGACATTTTCAATATCATGAAAATAAAGTATTTTAAGTGATAAGATTCATCGTTTTTAGTATTTGTTCAGAAAAACCAGCAAAATTTTTCGAAAAAATGATTGATAATTGACATAAAATGTCAAATAATTTCAAAGTGCCATTAGCTTTCTAAACAAGTATAACTTTTATCAACTTAATAGAAGTTTAGCTAAGAAATGACGTCAATTTCCTACGCAACGCTCTCATCATTTCATTATGGCACAATTTTACGTTAAATTAGATTCATAAGGTTACTATAGCATGCAGCTCAGTAACCTTTGATAAAATGATCAAACTTCATATTTGCTATTGGTTTTGAGTTTGCAACCACGCAATCTTCGTTGTACTTTCGCTAGCTTTTTTTAAAAAGATATTTTAAGGCCATACAATTGTAGGATGCCTTTATGACCTTGATATTCATAGTTTTTCCTTCAGAAAGGCAGAGGTATTTCTAGACTTCTATTGTTTCGTGTTGAGTTTATATTTTCTTTTTGAATTCTAAGATACTCTAGGCTGATAAAACTGGATTTTATCTTATGTTTTAGCAGCCTGAATTCAGAAAGAAAACATAGCCTCACAGTAGGAGAGAGCTGACGCTGACACGAAATAGTAGATAGCTAGAATAGATGGTCTTGATGTCTTAAACGGCAAACTTGCTTTGCACTTCTTGAATTCTGTCCGGGAAAGTTTCTAAAATCCGTCTTTCCAACTCGCAAGATTTTTCCATAATTTTATCTTCCAATTCTTGTTTAAATTGGCAGTATATGTGCGGTCGCGATCCGAAAAACAGAGATCGGTTTCATGAAGTTCTGGCGAGTATTAGAGTCTGGCGCGGTCTCCAACAGATGGCTCCAACACTACTATTCATTCTTGTTACAATACTATCAAAATCAAGGAGGCCATAAAGGCGTCCAAGAATTGTAGAAACAACTCCCGATACGGCTCTTAACCATTTACAATCAAACCTTTTACGGATAGCAGCTCCTTTGACAGGTTCATCAAAAAAATGAAATTCATATTTGCTCACATCATGATAAATATACTTTTCCAGAGTACTGTTTTCTGAGATAACTCGATTGATGAACCACTTGGCCGCAACATCTTTTTTGACGTTAGATGTAGGAGCAATTACGCCTCTCTTTTGGTTTTTCGAGGAACGAGAAAAGCTGTATGAGATATGCGAGCGAGCTTGTGGAGGCAGAATGCACGCTGCTTATTTTAGAGTCGGTGGTGTTAGTCAGGTATTTAGACGAACTTGCGTTCGCGCGTTGATGGTGAAAGAAGAATAATTGAACAACGTTAGAGTTATTCATCAGCGAGTTTACACGAATTTCCGAACCAGTTTAACTTAAACATAATTTCCATTAGCTCAAAAGTTTATAATGTTACACCTGAAACTTGTCCTGTGGCGTTCATGCTCGTGGTATACGTAGATATACATACACACTTAAATTACAGTAGGATTTTTTGGCAACTTTCACGACGACTCTGTATTTTTTCGTTTAGCAGATCTTTTTTTTTCATCCCTTGTCTCCTATAAGAACATGCCATCTCGGATAGTTTTCGAGTAAAAAATGCATCAAGCGGCTTATTAATTTTTTAAGTGTAGTTAGCGGAAATCCAGTAATACTTGTAAGTATGATATTACTTATTACAATTTTATTTAATACGTACCTGAAGATTGTGCAAAGACGCCCTTGGAACAAGATTACAACTGAGGTATTGAGGGAATGATGTTAGTACAATCTAGTGACTAAAGCTTAGAATGGAGTATTTGAAAATGTTATACAACTTGTTTAGGCCTTCGATAAACCTTACACAGGTATTCCGCATTATCTGCCAACGTTTTGCGTCAATAAATTTCAGACAAAGGTAATATATATGGATAAGCCATATAACATTTTAGAAATAATGAAACTTTCACAGAATTTAATTTTGGTGTTTTCATGCGGAATATGTTTTTGTTTGCAAACAGAAGCCTGACGGATAGATAACAATTTTTCAAGACGTTATTTATATGGTAGTCCGAGTCAAAGTGAATGCCCAAATTTCTTACTTTTTCAGAAACCTCCCCATTAACTTTGAAGTGAATTAATGATTTAAGGTTTTCACATAATCTTTTATTGCCAAATAACATGGCAGAACATCTTGAGCGATTTAGTCTTAAGTTGTGAGCGCTACAGTACCTACTAACACTATCAAGATCTGTATTTATCAGCAAAAAAGGAGTAAGTGTATTCTTGAAGTTTTCATGTAAATCTGCAGTGTATAGTAAAAACGGTTCCAGTACGGAGCCTTGTGGTACATCTGACTGAATGTATTTTGATGTCGAAATTTGGTTACTGATATTTACTTTTTGCCTTCGTTCCCTTAAATATGACCTAATAAAGTTGCAGGCAACTTCACCGAAGCCATAGTAGAGACACTTGACAAAAAGTAGTCGATTGTTAAGCGTATATGACCACCATTTTCGTTCCTTCTCATAACAATACCGCGAATTGCGAAAGCACGACTCCGAAATGAGTTTTGAAAAAACTTTTATTTTCGAAAACGGACAAATAGTGAAGTAAACTCGACCGAGAAGTAGCTAAGACTGAATAAAAAGCAAAATTAAGGTATGTTTATAATCTGGGTAAAAAGTGCAAACTCAGTGAAATGCAATTTCACAAAGTGTGGTGTGGTTTCTGGAACTCCTCCCGCCGTAGAAACTGTGACGTTCGGAAGTTTTCTTCTTGAATAAGTTCTATCGTCTTTGCTTGTATCTCAGTGTATCTCTTATCATTAAATAATGATTTCGGTTTTTCGGTGTTCCTTCTCCTTCTCGGCCCGTTTTCTTTTAAGGCACACTTTGACGGCCAGGTAGCCATAAGTGATAACAATTAGGGCATACAAAAAGATGGTCTAGATGCCGACTGATTCTAGATCAATGGGATTATCGGAGTCAGTGGTTTTGTAGGTCCAGCTCGGCTCTAACATTGTTCGTTCTTTTAAAGTTAATCGATTGAAGTTGAAGAGGTTCTAAATTAGTAGTGTGTATTTTTTGAAGCCTAGTTTTGGTAGTGCAATATTCTTAAATTTTGATTTTGGGTCCCGGTGACGTTTTATAACAGTTGAACCTATATCAAGCTTACAATTTTGGCAATTATCTAGTAGATATGTTCTTTGGATGAATGTTGTCTTGGTTTTCACCACATCAATATGTAACAATTTTCTTTTCGGGAACAATTAACATCCAGTTTTCTGCTCTAGCTTTTTGACGTTTACTTGTTGTACTCGTATAGGTATTTAAAACCACGTATTCTTCTCATATTTCGCATTTGACCTTCACATGGATTTCCTTTGCTTAGCCTTACTGGATTCTTCTCGTGGCACATATATTGTTCAGGCTGAATTTCTTGGCAGTTCTTGGCTACGCTCATTCAGGATGAGAAAATTTGAGTAAGGAATTATGACTTGATACTGATCGGATATCGGCGTGGGCAACGCGTATAGGTAATAATAACTATATCTTTCAACTTTTTCCAAAGGAATTTCTAAAACAAACATAAAATTTTGATTTCAATTTTTCCAAAAAGCAAAATGTTCTATAATGAATGGTTCAAATGGTAGTCTGACATCATGTAAATGTTCTGAGATGAGCTTCACTTCTACTAGAAGGTCTTAATATTGAATTATGAAATGAGTTCTGAAAATTATATTGTAACTTGTAGTTTTTCTAAAATTTCATGGATGCATCAGAATGAAGTTAATATTTGTGAGATTAAAATTTGCATGAAAAGTTCACTTTCCAGATTTAAATCTTTTTTCTGATGAACCATAACAGATTTCTCAAATTGCTAAAAATGGTGTCTAACAGACAAATATATAGTGTATTTACACCCAAGATCGAATGGATGCGTGATTGCCAAAAGCAAGGACGGCGTACAGGGCCGCATTCAGGGCTACCTCCGAATGATGGACTACCACCAATGGGTTGTAAAACAAAGATGACAGTATTTAACGAAATTATTTAATATAGTGAAGTAGTTATAGTTAAGGGTGTCGCAAAATCAATTTTTTATTCTTGAAGGGGTTTTTCTACAGATTTTTCAAACTAGACAACATGGAGAAATACATACCAGAGGTAACCAGCTGCTCACTCTGCACAATGAATCCATAGTCAACGAGGGGTAGAGATGACACTTTTGTACATGGAATAAATATAAGGCTGTTCAATCAATTGAAAATAGATTTTGAAGGTGCACTTCGGAGTTGCATTGTCTGTAGTTTATCTGTAAGTTAATATTTCACTATAACTAGGATTCCCATAATATGTATTCTGTGACAAAACAAAAACGCGAAACTTACTCAGACTCACTTGAAGAGCTATCGACATTAATGTTTATGGTGATGGATTCAAAATCTCTCTCAATTATGTTGTCCAGCTCCCACATTGCTACCTCCACTTTCTCCTGAACATGCAGCACACATTTTTGCCATCTTTCTGGTGTGACCCTCTGTATAGCAATTCTGAACAGCTCTTGCATGTCAGAAAATTTAAATGTTGTATTGTGTGCAGCAACAAAATTCTTAACATCTGCCCATATGAACTTAATGGGGTTGAGCTCACAGTGATAAGGCGGCAAACGGAGTACTGTTTTGTGGTGTGCTTTGACCATTTCATCTATGACATATTTATTATGTCTTGGTCTGTGTTGTTTCACAATATCTAATAGTTGTAATTTCAGTAAGGAAGTGTCGAAAGTTATAATTTTGGAACGGAGCCGTCTCTGAATGTCTGATTTCCTAGAAGCTGAAGTTGGGATTTTTTCTATTTTGCGAGAATGATAGGGAGCATTATCCAACCACAGAATTGTCTTCGAGACGTTGTAAAATGCCTGAAAACCACTTCTCGAATGCTTCCCCGTTCATCTCTTCATGGTAGTCAGTGTTTTTCTTTGACTCAAAAGACCATAAGCCGTCATCCACGAAGCCATCTACACCTCCAATGTGGCCAATAATGAGCCTTTTTCCTTTGCCTAGAAAGATAAAATCCGCTAAGTACACATGCACGTCTTGCAGGTACGAAGATAGAGAGATATTGTGCGCAAAAATTGATACCGTGAACTACTTCGATCTATTTACCTGCTGGATTTTTTAATCCGGTCGACAGTCCATCTAGAAATGCTCTTCTGGTTGAAGTCACAGTTTTGTCAACCCATACCTTCGGAGTAGTGTGCCCAGCGTTAATCCAGGTTTCGTCCAGGTAATAGATCTTCCTGTGCTGATCCCTGAATGATTTAATTTTGGTCAGGTAATCTCTCCTCCACAGAACAATTTCTTCTCTATCCATAAGTTTATGAATAGTCGAACGTTTGAAATTTGGTAACATAGCATCCTCGTTAACCTCCTGAAGTACTTTATCAACTGTCGGTATTTAGTTTCTGAAGAAGAACTCGTGCACTTTCCCCCGAATCGCATGCTTGTCAGCGTCATCCAACGATCTTATGATACTTTTGCGATTTTTACCCGTCATTGGCTTGGAAAAGGCATGCTTTTTCTTATGTTCGTTCAAAACATTGTACACTGTCGCTTGACAATACCCCAATTTTATCTGTCACTTTCAGAGCTATTTTCGGGTTAGTTGATGTTTCGTCTTCCTTCCGCTCTATCTTGAATGTATTCAATATGACGTCTTTTATGTCTACGCTAAGATGTCTTTGTTTTGATCGCTTTCTAGGAGGGCTAAAGTAGCCTACAGCCTCGTCAGCAGTATCTGTACTGGACATGTTCAGGATTGGTTCAAAACAAATAATAACGAGCAATAACAATAACAATGGCAGCAGCGGTGGCCGCAGTAGTAGACTCTTCGGTCTCCTGATCAGTCGCCGTGCGCTGTGCGGGTTCGAGTCCCGTCCCAGGAGAAATTTTTCTCTTGGCTATGGATGTTGTGATTGTCCGTAGGTGGTAGACGGTGTCTGACTGTCGAACGCGGAGGTACCACCCGGCGGATCTCGTAGGCGGAGCCAGAATGTGTGCATGTTGCATGCACACGTGTTCCCTCGCCAGAGTCCGTGTGGCGATCCCCCTTTCCCATGTATCCCCCTATAGCCCCACGGTACCCAATGGGTGCTTAGGCCTTAGGCCTTCGTGATAGTTGACGTATAAAAAAAAACAAACAGAAACTTAACAAATTACTCAAATACACTTAACAACAACAACAGCAACAACCAAGCAAGGTGAATACGAAAACACGAGCACGCAGTGATACATGCGACGGTCGGTGGCCTGAATGTAACTCTGCCTGCCCTGCCCCTGCCCCGCGCATTATTCCGCCAGGCGACCGCTTGAAATTTAATGGCGAATTGACCAATAAGAGGCGTTGTCCCCACCTGTTACCGAGAGATCACGCGCTAACTGTTATTATTTACATCTCATCTTGAATTTGGATTCAGTTTAGATTGAATCATTCACATTATTTATATTTTGGAATACTCTTGAAAATTTTTTGCAAGAGGAAATGAATCTATGTAACTGTTTTGAACTTCCATCGAAAGGTGGAATGTTATCAGCTTGTATCTAAGTAAAGCCACGTTTAATCCCCTATTACTTGAAGTTAAAGGAGCGGTTGCTCTTGTTTCGGGCATTATGGACAGATACCAGTTAGCAATTCCTCTCAATTAAGGTTCAAGATCGTCACTATCAGACATGCTCTATATTTTCACGCCTTGAGTTATAGGTGTGTAATGGAAAATAATGAATATATGAGAGGAAACCGTTCTTACGATAGCCACAAGATAATTCTCATGAATGTATGTATCTTACCTTTTTCTTCCTGTAGATGGTTTGCTCGATGGATCATACCCTGGGTAGGCTGGCGGTTGTTTCTATTCTGGTCGGCTTCTTCTTCAGAAATCTTCTTGAAGACTTCCGCTTAATATCCATGTCAGGCAAAACGTTAAAACGAACCGAGTACTCGCCGTAAACTTAAAAACATCACAAAACTCGTCCCGACGTACCTTACTGACCTTACTGCGCCAATTACGAAAGCACGACTCAGAAATAAGTTTTTAAAAAACTTTTATTTTCAAAAACCTACAAAAAGTGAAGTAAACTCGGCCGAGTAATAGCTAATACTGAATACAGTCCAAAATTAAGGTATATTTATAATCTTGGTAAAAAGTGTAAACTCAACGAAATGCAATTCCACAAAGTGTGAAAACTTGGTGTCTGTAACTCGCGCAAATAAATATGAATAAGAAGAGTTTTTAGAAAGCAGATCCGAAAAAAATCTCAATGTTCAAGAAAATCGTATAAAAATAAACTATAATTTTATGATACGATATTTTTAAAATGGTTATTAGAGCTGAAAAATACTCGTAGCCTTATTCTTATGAAGGGGGAGATTTTTAAATGTAAATGAACATGCCACGAAAAAAAATCGTGTTTTTTCTTCCACATCTACTAGATGTTCAAACAGGCCCAATATGAGCGAATTTTAAAACCTCAGTCTTTGTCGCTGTCCGCTTCACGTGAAATACCCCAATAGTAAAATCGTAAATGTCATTAATTGCTGGATTGCTGTAAATAATGGTGTATTATTATATAATGAAAAATATCTATTCTCTGATGATGCAACGTTAATTCACTTTGTTTATACCCTCAGGTTCAAAATAAACGCAACAAGTAAAATTTTGTTCAAATTCGGAACGTCATAGCTTTTTTACTTTTGCCTTAATTTAATTGATTTTTTTGGCAAGCGGTAGGTACAGTCATTGAAATTAATATGTAGACATAAGTTTTTGATTGTAGCCACGGTTTGATTTGTTGTGCAGGGTAACTTAAAATGATATTTCATTACTCCAAATATGCGTCACTCTGTGGTGTGAATCCAGTTGCCAATCAGACCACAAAGCTCTCCATTATCAAAAACCACAGTTTCTCTATGATATGATTTTGATTAATGTCAATACATACAGTGGTTGAAGTTTTAGAGACAATGAACATTTTACCACCAATTTTCATTCCTCCTTTCATAACTTTTCAATTCCAATACGAATTCGAAAAGTTTTTCACCAAATTTTACAGAAACCTTTCTGCGTTAGGTTCACATTTTTTGAAATCGCTATTCATACCAATTATCTACAGTGAAGAAGGAAATAAAAACGTTTCACTTAATTTAAAAACACGTATAATATTTTCCGGCTTTACCCTTTTGAAATACAGTGCCAGGGCAATCTCATAGCATATCTCACTTATCCTCCAATTCTGTGTTTCTGGAAATTCTAGCAACAATTTACAAATTTTAATCAGTATTACACTGTTCAACTTGTAACATATTTAGATAAACGTAACCAGAAGAGGACACTAGGATATACCGCTGCCCTATGAAATTCCTGAGGTGTTTTGCATCCCCTAGTGGTAACGCGAGTGTTCACCAAGGGTCAGCTTCAATACTGTTTCTGTACGATAAAGCTACTCATCCACATCCTGTCGGAAGACAGCGCTTTGCATGCGGGTACTTAGAATGTTAAACCGAGCTGTGACGCGAAGATTATTACTAATGTGTTTGTTAGCGCAACAGTTTTACGGCTTTTAAACTACAGTACCTAGCACAGACGGGCAATAGATTTTTGTACAAATTGCTGGAAAACTTTTTGGCTACGTACACAGATTGTTTCAAAGTTGGGGTAATAAAACAACATTTGGATTTACCCTGTATACGTATAATAAGTCAAACCGTGGCTACAATCAAGAACTCATATATATACATTAATGTGGGGCGTAAACCAGAGCGGTGGCGGCCGCGGTGGCGATAGCGATCGCGGCAGCGAGCAAATAAGTTGCATGTAACTAACCTGAATTGCGCACACCTGCCACGATCTGGCAAACGCGCCCGCTCTCTTTGCCGCGTTCTACCGCGGCCAACTTGCGGCCTGCGATAGTACGCTGCGTGCATCATTTGCCCACATAGTTCGCGCGATATTCTTCCCACGGAGGAGTTGCAAACATGTGTACCGAAAAACTTATTGAAAATGTGCAGGAACATTTCATCTTGTATGATTTGTCTCACAGTGATTATAAGCATACTAAAAAAAAGAAAAAATGTGGGTCGAAATTGCTTTATCTATAGGTGCAACGACGGGTATAAGTAGCTACAGTCTTTACTTTTATAGATTTTTTTTAGACAAAAAAGTATCTTTCAACACTTATCTAATTATTAAAATATGAAACAAATTTTTCACGTTTCTTTATCTTCGGGCATCGTTTGCAAAATGTTCGAAGGCTCCGAGGTCCGTTTATTTTGAACCTGAGTGTACGTCTAACTTTATTAAAACTGTTTTCCCGTAAAACGGTTTAAGGCGAACGTATAAATTCGCATTTTAAATTTATGTTTATCTATAACCAAGCTGTCTTTTATATATTCAAGGATATTCCCGTGGGATTATTGCATGACATTTACGAGATTGTGAAGAAACTACCAGAGAGAATAGATGAAATGGAAGACGTCGTTACCAAAAACAGAATTTTTATAGCTAGGTGTAAAGGGCTTGGTATTACTACTGCACACGAAGCTTTAAACAGAGGATTCACGTAAACAATAATGAATTATTATATATAAGTTATCTCATGGAACCGGTTCTCAAGCAGTATTGTAATGTTACAAACCAGGAAAGCGAAGATGCTTTTAAGAATCTTATATATGTAGAATATACATATTCGAAATACTATTATATTAAAAGATCTATACGGCAGGGATACGAGTATTACGTATCTTGAAATGTGACATTTTGTCGATTGTCGTTGACATTAAGTTATATAGGTTTTTTGTGAAATTGTGAAGGATTTTCTACAAGATGTCAACTTAGCACTAGATGTTGTACACTTAATGTGTACTCGTTCCGTAGCTGTACGTGTTGCCTAAACGTTCTGATGCCTCAGCTATCAATGTTTGGCTCTGATGTGATGTAAAATCTGCTTCAAAGATGGCATTATTGGAGGTCTAACCTGTCAGTTGTATACTATAGCTGGAAGGAAACGGCAATGCATGGTGACTATTTGTGTGCTAATTATCTGTGTTGACGATAATTCCATTGATTTCTTGTCTCAAATACACTTACTTGAGATGGATGCAAAGCTTAAAATTAGTTGCGGATCCGCTTTTTCTTATTCAACCTGGATGCAAAGTTGCTGAAACTCAAAAAAGAGAGCTATAAGAAAAGTAAATCCCTGGTTGGTGTATATTAAAACTAACAGGTGTGAAAATATGGTACATACAGAAATATTTATGATACGTATAAAAGTTATTACATTTTACATTCATTTTTATTTTCAGCAATTTGAATTTCATAGAAATTTATTTTACGATATTAAGTAGAAAATACAAAACAGCGCTTAGTTGTGAGGCAGTACGAATATCTTTGTATGTGATGCGTCATTCCTAATTTTTCTATGATGTGGTTTAATTACACACAACGCGGGTGTGCTGCTGAATTCCAGTGATGCTTCTCAAAGTTTCCGAAAACGCAAGAAACAGGCAAAAACCTTAATGTATAACTTTGAACATAACTTCTGTTAAGAAAGGCCAACACAAATAACCCGTCTGGCACAGCTAATAGATATATTTCATGGGCAGCATAATCAGTAATAAATTGTATGAAATTTACTTTTTGCACACTAGGAACTATCTAGGCAGCAAGTTGACAATTTGTTGTTTTTTTTTGACGTTTGATTGTTTTTTCACGTAATAAGCCTGCAGATAATCATTTTGTGCGGTTTTTCTTTTTTCAGATGTTTTCATTCTTTTAATTGGTTTTTCGCTGTATAGGGTTGCTTAGGTTTTTAAACCTTCGTAAACAAAACATTTCATATACATTCTTCACTTTGCGGGTTTGTTGCTTGGATACAAAGTGTTGTCTCATATATCTGTAATACGCAAGTGATGTTCATGAAATCGATAGCACGCATGAAATGACTTATAATTTGTCACCTATATTTGATCCAATTATCCCAGTGATGAACGCTACTAATTGTTAACTGGGTACCTGGTTCCCTTGTGAGTGTAATCAACGAGAATTTAGGCCAACAATGTTGCTGTTCACTCATCAATAAATATTTTTCGAGTTTATAGCTAGTAAATTCTATCAAATGATAAAATTCACAGAAGTAAACTGTAAAAAGGCCTTAAATCGCTCTCAGTTTATTCAATGGAACCCAGGAAAGAGAATAATACTTCTATTGAAAATATGTTTCACAAAAATGTTTTCTTTAGGGAGCCTGAAAAGTCACTATAATAATAATAATTTCTGCTAATTTTATTATTTGGTCATTTTTCTTTTGACTCCATTCACAAATAAAGCAGTGGCGGGCCTGCTTAATCCACGATTTACTCAGTTGAAAATCAATAGCTCAGCCACCTCCAACGACCCCGTAAGTACCTATTATCGGTTCACAGGGTTTTATGAGAAATTAGGCAAAATATGTTATTAAATGGTAACTCTGATCACCCTGCTTATCAGTAAAATGCATCAGTTTATCTGAACTATTTTGGTCATTTTGATGAGTATCAGTTTCCGACAAAAAAAAAACTGAATTAAACAATAGAAATAACAAGGAATAAAAAACGCACAAAATTAATATCCTAAATCAAATAGTATTTCAAATTTCCCTAAAAATCCTAAAAGTTTATTCGGCTTTCCCGGGCTTTAAGGTTTACATTTTTCTGCGTCTAATCATTGGAGTAACGGATCTCCGCTATGTTATGTGTACTAATCATGCTATGTCATACATAAATGTTAATCATATAACTCTATTTAATCATGATGTTAATGGATGATTCGATACGATTTGACGTAAGCGCTGCCCATGTTCACACCTCACAGCATGGTCTCAAACGCACTTTGCAAACGGCACAAAAAATCACGCGAATTGTTGGTGCTCTTTAACAATCCAAGCGCTTGGCTACGCACGCACACGTTACAGTGTTTTGTAAACAACTTGAGACATAGGAAAATGAAAGCCGTCAGATAGGCACCAAGGCAGGTGACATTAGAAAGGGACTGTGGCGTGGGATTGAATTTGCCTCTAATAGTCGATCCAGAAAGTTGGTTGGCAACTGGTGTTGTGGACTAATCGGTTAGGTCGGCTCTACGGAATGGAGGAAATGTGGGTTCAAATCCTGCTCACGCCCATTCTCCTATCTATCAAGTTTTTGTTTACAACAACTGTATCAGGGAAGCTTGTGAAAAGTAGAATCTAACAATGCTGAAACATGCATTTAATTGTTTTGGGAAAAGTTCATTTTGCATTTTGACCAACTGCGTTAACCATTCAAACGAATAAAAATGGATGAAATAGGTTAAAATGGAGTATAATAGCATCTTTTGTCACAAAATTCATTACCCATGCACATGTTTTATCATTATCCTGTTGAAAGGACTTATCCGAATATGTAATAAAAAGTAGGGCATTCTATTAAAAAGTCCTTCATATATTATGGGTCGAGACTGGGACAGCCTGCATTTGTAAATATTTTAAAGATACCATATACTAAGCCACACGATTGGTATATTGACCTTGTGATATACTGATTTGTATGCAAATGCCGTCTGTCACGATACAAAATTTTGTTCACAATTTGGTACCAAATTTTGTGAGAAAATGCCTGACTGAATTTACTTCACAATTTGTTTCCAACTTACAACTCTGTTTGTCACGAGAAAGAAATTTTTGAAATAAATTTCGTACGAAGTCATGCACAGTAGGTATGAAAAAAACTAACTGTCAACTTCGAACGGCCATTTATCACGTCAAAGTCATACTAACCACCATTGTCGTTGCGCATTGTTACTTTGTTACTTTAAACGAATTGAATATTGTAGATTGTAGAAAATGGATGAACACGTAATTCGCATAATATACTAAGTGACATATAAATCCGAACACCCAGTTTAAATGGTTTTATTTTAATAAAAGTTGGTGAATGTATTTATCTTACTGTAAATAACAAGTGAAAAAATTTTCAGCTTTATCAGTTGGACATTCCGGTTTTTATACTGCTTTTTTTTAATTCACTAAAGCTCTAAAAATGATTATTTCAGCCGCAGTAAAGAATCAACGTTGGCGTATTTTGGTTCGTGACATCCTTTACGATCGGTTACGATGCCTAGAGTACGGAGACCTGTACGTTTTCGTCAACTTAGTGAGTTTGATAGGGGCCGTATAGTGGGACTTCGGGAAGCTGGACTTTCTTTTCGGGCAATTGCAGTTAGAGTGCAAAGAAGTGTAGACACTGTGGTTAGGTATCGTCAGGCATGGCTTCGAGAAGGCCGTACGCAAAGAGCAAGGGGCACTTGACGCCGCCGTAGAACAGCAGACCTTGAAGATCGCCGCCTAAGATTATTGGCCTTAAGCGACCGTTTCTCCACTACCAGGTCCATTGCAAATGAATGGTTTGCAGAACACGGAAGACCTATTGGCATGCGAAGTGTTTACCGACGAATGAGAAGTTTTGGCTTGTTTTCATACCGGCGACACTGGGTCCTCCCTTTAACTCGAGAACACCGACGTAATCGCCTTGAGTGGTGCAGACAACGGTCACTCTGGGATCAGGAATGGAACAGTATTGTCTTTAGTGACGAGTCTCGATTTTGTTTAGGCATGCACGATGGTTGTGCCAGGGTTAGAAGGCGACGTGGTGAAAGGAGGAATCCACAGTTTTTTGTTGAAAGACATGTTCATCACACTGTTGGAGTTATGGCTTGGGGTGCTATAGCTTATGGTTCCAGGTCACCTTTAATCTTCATCAGAGGTAACATGAACGCGCAGCCTTATATCCACGAAGTTCTAGAACCCCATCTTTTACCCTATCTTGACACCCTGGCAGATCCAACTTTCCAACAAGATAATGCCCGACCACATGTTGCAAGAGTCACAATAGACTTCTTTGAACATAATGATGTCACATTGTTACCATGGCCACCAAGATCTCCCGACTTATCCCCAATTGAGCATGTGTGGGATATGATGGGTAGGAGATTGCTCAATCAGCAACGTCCTCCTCAGACTCTAGAAACACTTCGAGGGGAGTTGGTGGTTGCCTGGAATGAGATACCACAGGAGGACATTGACCACCTGATCAGAAGCATGCCTAGGCGCGTTGGAGAATGCGTAGCACATCAGGGTGCATCCACACATTATTAAAGGTCAATGGGCACTAAAGCAGTGCAATCATTTTGAAATTTTTATCATTTACTTATTATGCTTCATTAAGTACTTATACAAAATTTTATTAAAATAAAACCATTTAAACTGGGTGTTCGGATTTATATGTCACTTAGTATATATTATATGCGACTGCGGGACCAGCAATCTGCGTTGTAGCTGCACCTCATGAAAACACGAAACCGTAAAAGAATTTTGTTGAAAATCGATCAGGGCGAGGGACCGACAGGGGTATTATGTAAAAAACTTAAAAGACGACGAAATGTCATCTTGCAGACTAGATAGTTTTTAGTGTGCAAATAGTTAATTCCATGTTTGCTCGCTATGATCGCTGTGTGCTGACGTTTAAGCAACACGTACAGCTACAAAATGAGTTCACAGGTATACAACAGTTTGTGCTAAGTTAAAATCTTGTAGAAAAACTTACGTTATGTCACAAAAAACCTACGAAATGTCGAAAAAACAACGACAAAATGTCACTTTTCAAGACACGTAATACCCGTGCCAGGACTGGGTGTGCTCCTGCTCCAGATGCTGAATAAAAGACCTCTAATGGAGGATGCACTGGCTTATAAGCCTAATTGGTTCTAAAGCAATTCTCATTTTTTCTAACGCAGCCTATTTGGCGTTTCTGTTTTTATAGGCATTGCTTTTTACGGCATATAAACAATCATATTTCTTATACTCGTTTAGGAGTATGTCATACTGCTCTTTTGACCATGACAACTTTTAAGTTTTTCAATGTACAAGTAGAACGGCACAAGCAGGGTAGTTTCACGAAACTGATGAACACAACTGATCACAACAGCTGATAAAAGTGCTTGAGGTTCGGCTCATATTTGTCAACCAATTATCATCTCATCTAATCATCACAAACATCACGAGAATATCAAGTAGTTAACATAAAAACGTGTAATTCCTTGTCACGTACACTTCTATCAGCCATTGTACTACTCCTAATGCGCAGTAGGCGTCTGCTCGCCTTTAGCATGATATTATTTAGAACAGGTTCTAAAAAATTTAACACTCAATTTATTCAGACAAAATTATGTTCTAAATGCTGTCTGACACTATCCTTAGTTTTGTCCGAAATTTAGCGTACTAAATTGACAGATGGTCTTAATGCAGTGATACCCAACCGTATACAAAATTTAATTAAAAAAATTCATATTTACTGATCTTTCTATTTTTTCTGTCACTGAGTATACAAAGAACATTAATTTTAGAGGTGTGATGTTGAGATGTACCGGTGTTAAATGGGATTTGAGAAAAACGCAGCCCTATGAGATATACGATGAGCTAGAGTTTGATGTTCCTGTTGGGAAAAATGGAGATATTTATGACAGGTATTTGAAATCTATGGTAACTAAAAAGTGAGTTTAGTAGCAAGGTGCAGCTAGTATATAACTATTGAGTTGCTATTTTATTTTGTCATATCAATGTATGCATTACGTAACTAAACTTATTTTATGGTTTTGAAATAGACTATGCTACAGTTAAAGTCCAGACCTGAATACCCGGTTCATCTAGATTTTTATTACTTCCGACTTCAATTGACCAGAAAGTATTGTGTTCGGGAAACATTACGATTTTGATAAAACTTTAGCACAAAGTTACTACTATGTCACGGATGAAAAGGTTTCACAGTCGTTGAACACATAATATGGGTAGTAGTGAACCATTGTTTTCATTCACTTCTTGGAAGCACTCAGACAAAAGCACAAACTGTCAATATTTAGCTAATTGTGTTTCCAAGCAATAGTTAAATTATATTCGACGAAAATACCCATGGTTTGCGAAATAATTTGTTGGATGTATTGATGCAAGTTGGTCAAGGGGGTATTCTAAACAGGGACGCATGAAATGAGCTCACCTATTTTTGTGGAAAAACTTTTTATATGATAACAAAGAATGAAAAAAAGTGTTTTTTGGGATTCATGTGTTGGCTGGAACGAAAAAAACTCTTTAAAGAACATTTTTGGGTATTTAAAATGAGACCACACGTAAAAAGATTCGACTATTAGCAAAAAAGTTATGGCCGAAGACCTATGCAGGTTTTGGCACTTGTTGGTAATGCGACGATAATTTCAGCAGCTACTTCAAACCCGTAGGCTTCATATTTCTGAATAACCACAACAAAATTGGATTAGATAGGCCAAGTAGTTTTTGAGAATTTCTAATTGCTTATCTCAAAAAACTTGTTTTCCGGCCATCACTACTAGTTTATTGAGCAATATTCAGGGTTTGTTTAAAGGGCATTTTATAGAAAAACACTCGAGCTTACCTTGCCGATATTAATCACAAACTATTCCGAAAGATAAATGATATTTTTATGCGAAAACAAAGGATTACGCTTTGTTCTTCTAGTCGAATTCAAACTTGATCAGATGCGCTACGATATTAAAAAACATCCGTTATTATACACATTTTGAAACAAAGCGGATGTGTCTATCTGCTTTTGTTGCGAATTTTTTTTTTAAATTTCTTTATGCGCTTATACATATATATAGTATATGTATATGTCGGAGTCAAACGCTGAAATCCGTCTTTCCCTGAAATGCCTAGTCAGTCCCCGTATTGCCGGCAAATACGGTAACAGTTTGATTATTACAACGTTTGACTAAGCATTTCAGTCATTCCCTGTAATGACTGAACAATTTCAGTCGAACACCGTAACAACCACATTATATTCGTTACTGCATTTGCCTGATTCAGTCATTTATTGTACCATTTTTGTGTTCATTTGCTTGAGTATTCACATCGTCTTTTGTGTTTGTAAAGATGTCGCAGCATTCAGAATTCTTTTACAAGAAACTAATTGAATACTATGACAGTGTGACTAAGAAAAAAACATGGAAGACAAATGAGTTAAAGGAGGTAAGTTAATTTTTATAATTTTGTGAACCATATCTAACTTATAACGTACATAGGCTTGCTTAACAGCAGCGTCCATTGTTGCCAGATTTCGTATATAAATACTTGATTAAAAAAATATATTATTCATCCACACTGAAGTGTCGCCATCAGGAGATATACTTATTTGGTTTGAAAAATGCGCATCGTGTATTGTTTGCGGAATACCACAATAGTGAATATGCATAATTTTAGAAAAAAAAATAAAATAAGCTAATTGAATTAGTCTATAAAAAAGGTCATCTGTTTGGACTTCTTGTTGATTTAATACATTAATGAATAATGTCCACAATAATGTAATAATAAAGACAACGTTTTAATCTATTCTTCTTTCCTTTTAGATTAATTCAGGCTTGATTATTGTACTTCATTGGAGCAGCACTGTATAGATTACAGCGTTTGACTAGAATAGGCGAATGCAGTAACGAAGTTAATGTGGTTGTTAAGGTGGTTGACTGAAATTGTTCTGTCATTACAGGGAATGACTGAAATGCTTAGTCAAACGTAGTAATAATCAAACTGTTACAATGTTTGCCGGTAGTACGGGGACTGACTAGGCATTTCAGGGAATGACGCATTTCAGCGTTTGACGCCTACATATATATATATATATATATATATATATATATATATGTATATATATTTAGAGCTGAAATTTGTACACGGTCATAGATGAGCTTTAACCCCTTCGCCCCGGCCAGTATATTCAGCAAGCGCGCTGTCATCCGGCCGCATCGTCAGCGCTGCGCCTGGCGACGCGATGCGACGTTTCAAGATGCATATTACCTTTGATTGCGCGTGCTTCTCTCTGTGTGGAAAGAGAGTAAATACAACGTGGCCGGTTTATTCACTCTACTGTGTGTCGGGCTTATTAGTTTCAAGTCTATGCAAGTTGGGCTTGTTTTCTATGTTGTCTCTGAGCTTTGTTATATTATTAGTATTGAAATAAAGTTTCGATATGTCGAGTGATAGCAGTGACTTAGATTATGATCCCGTAGATGACAGTGTATCTGACGAAGAAGATGAATTTTCATATAATTCAAGAGAAAGTGACGTGGAAGCCGAATGCGTCACTTTTGAAGGCTGGATTATCGTGCCACATCCTGAGGATGATAAACGGCTAACCGATGTGGTACAACCGACCCTCCACTATGATGTACATCCAGCTGTAGTCCTGGAAGAAGTGATGTCTCCAATGAAATGTTTCGAAACATTTGTTAGTGAAACAATTGTAACATTTTTATGCAAATGGACTAATGAACGTGCGGCAAAATATTTCCTTGAAAATATTGACAAAAATATGAAAGTACACGGATTACGTTGGCGTGATGTGACAGTTAGTGAAATGTACGTATTCATTGCTCTGGTACTTATGCAAGGCCTGATCCATTTACCACACCTTAGTGATTACTGGAGAAAAGACTTTCTTTTGGCTGGACCCCAAGTTTTTTCCGCCACCATAATGAGTAGGGATAGATTTCTATCTATCATGAAATTTTTACGCTTTTCTGACCCTAAAGCCACCGACCCATCTAGACCCATGACCCGTTTGGCAATGTTCTTCGCTTTTATAAAGGAAAATACGATGATTGCGATTGATCCAGGCGAAACTTTTGCACTTGATGAATGCCTTATGTTGTACAAGGGCAGACTACATTTCAAACAGTATATCAAATCCAAAAGATCTAGATTTGGAATCAAACTGTTTGCTCTGTGCCCTAGTGATCCCAAATTTAGAGGCTATACCTACAGTTTTGCATTGTACATCGGTAGAGACATATATAACGTTGCACACATTCCAGGAACTGATGCGCTTTCGATGTCTGAAAGAGTGGTTGTGTATATGCTGTCAAACTTACTTGATGAAGGCCGTGAAGTGATCTTGGATAATTGGTACGTGTCAGTTAGGTTAGTTGAGTTCTTGTTGACACGAAATACTTACGTCTCAGATACAATTAGAACCAACAGGGGAGTACCGTCTGAGCTCACACAACTTCAGTTGAAAAAAGGACAGTCGTGTTTTATTAGAAAGGGAGATGTACTGATTGTGCGTTATAAAGACAAAAAGGACGTTTATGTGATCACATCGAAACTTACCGCTGATTTCGTTCAGAAAGACCAGTATTCCGTTGTCGATAAACGCGTTGTAGTATTACAAAAGCCAAGTCATGTGGATCACTATAATTCAAATATGGGTGCCGTTGATGCAACGGATCAGGACATGGAACCATACAATGCAGCACGGAAGAGCTACGCCTGGTTCAAGAAAGTTGGGATCCACGTGTTACAGAGGATGGTACTGAATGCCAAAGTCCTCTACTCGGTTACAAACAAACGAAAAGTAGATATGAAAGACTTCACATTACAGTTATGTGATGAAATTCTTGCCAAACATCTTTCAGACTATACAGCAATGCGTGATCAACACAAAAACGCGAAAAGGCAAAAACTTAGTGAACCATCAACATCAAGGTTGGCAGGACATGAGCTCGTTCGTAGTGAACAGAACACGAGACGCAGATGCTGGGTATTTTCACGTATAAGTGTTGTATTGGATGTAAAAACCGCATACCATTGTGTTCCTTAGACCACTTTACATACTATCATGATAACCTTTGAATATGTTATAAATCATGTAATAAAGTGTTCTTGTAAAGTTGTTTCATCATTTTTCACCGTTTTTGTCTTTTACCATTTCTTTTAAATAATATCCTTATGGTGATTCGTTTTTTTTGCGAACAAAGCAAGGGAAAATATAGGTAAACTTCATCGAATGTTTGTAATTTTTCTACTATACGGCACTGAGAAATTGAGGTATATGCATGTATCCGGTCAAATACCGTAGTCGTATAAAATTTTATGGCGGCCAAATGAAAATGATGCATCACCGGATTAAAACGCGAACTAGTATATACAGAAATGATGCAAGTGATGCATCACCGGGCTCAAGGGGTTAAAGCTTATAAAACAGATATTTCATACTAAAATGCAACGAAATGTTTTTGAAGTTAGCACGCAAGACACAATAATTATGTTTCAAAGCTTCTTAGCCTAGTTAGCATGTAGTATGTGCTAAATGGCTACAAGATAAGTATGTCACGAAATCCAGTTTCTTTACGAAGAAATATAATTCCCTTTTTCTAAAAGTATTACTACAGTATACGATTGCTTTTATACGATTAAAACGAGTGCGAGTTCAAAATTTTTGAAAATAAACTCTAGAAATCAAATAAACAGTAGACAAAAATCAACCAATTGTAGCGAACTGACCGTCTATAAAATTAGGCAAAATGCTCGATTGACATTTGTCAGTGTCAAGTATAGTGGTATAAATATCCACTAAGACACGAGGCGACGTAGTATAGTGGGAAGGAGTAACGGTTGCAGATCCGCAGGACGGAGGTTCGAATCCACAAAGCTCCCTTTTTCTGTTAATATTATTTAAATTTGGTAAAATGCTCATTTCATTTACAGCGTAGATATTTTTTTGCATAGTAGTATTTTTGTATTACGCATAGTAAAGGTGATCTCCCTTTTTTAAGGCAATGCCATTTCAATAATATTTTGTTAGGCTTCAACAGTCGGAATGAAATGCTTCAAATAAAATTAATAGGATCGTCTTTTTTTAATACGAAATCATGCTTATATAGTGTCTCAATATGTATGTGGAAAGTACTTATTTCAACAAAAGGAATGCTAACTTCGACCAACATCAGCTACCTGTCGTTTGAGGAATGCAGAGTATCTGTATACCATAGTGTCGACTATATACTCTATATACTCACTGCGAAAAAATCATATTACTTTTGGAAAATTTTATTTGCGCAAAAACTCACCGCCTTATGAGGCCGCGAAATGAACAATTGCAAATCTTGCAATTCAAGCCCGACTCCGGAGTGAAAATAAACTCATGCAGTTTTTAGACAACACGCTTTCATGAAAAATCATTGGTAATTTTGATGAAGTTATGTAATTACTTCCGCAAATCATATTAGGTTAATGTACCTAACATCTGACACATCCAGTAGCTTTCTGGTCGATAAACTCCTATGTTTGTCTAGCCAGTGAAATCGCATGCATTTGAAATTGTTCTTTAATGTATTCGATGGACGAGGTTACCGGATCAAGGTCCGAATTTACTAAGCTGGGTCACAAAATCAACTAATGAGAAGGAGTCTTTGAAGCAATGGATTTTAAGAATGGCCGATTTCTTGTAAAATGTCTCAATAACCATATAAAATTAAGAAATACCTCATAAGTCATGTAAGTGATTTAGCTACAACAACTTATTTTTATACTACAAGCATGGACACAAATCTGATACAATATCTAGATTGACAGGAACTAAATAGCATTTTATTTAAAATGACAGTGTCTGTCTCTGTTGATGTACAAAATTCTGCTTAATAAATTATTTGTGTATGGCGTGCGAAACGCTGTTTGATGGCAATAAAAGTACACAAAGTACAAAAAATAACAGAAAAAAGGGAGCTTTGTCTATTTCGAAATTCCGTCCTAACGTTCTGCAATCATTATCTTTACACTACACTATGACGCCTCGTGGTTTATTGGATCTTTGTACCACTATACTTGACACTGACAATGTCAAGCGAACGTGGCGGTACATCAAACCTGTTATAAGCAATTAGAATAATCTCAAAAACTACACAAGATACATATTTTGCCTAATTTTTCAAATGGTCAGTTAGCTACAATTGCTGTTACTTTTGTTTTCTCGAGTTTATTTTCCAACATTTTGATATAGTTTTAATCGAACGAGATTCCCAAAACAGGTGTATATACTCTATTATTACTTTTAGAAAAAAGGTTCAGGGAATTATATTTCTTTGTAAATAAACTGGATTCCGTGATCTACTTATCTCACAAAGTCATGCAGTCATCAATCATGTAGTATTTAACACATGCTACATACTAGCTAGGCTTAGACAGTTTGGAACATAATTCGTCGCTTGAAAGCAGAAGTATTCTAAAAGCAGCTACACACAGTGCCGCCGGGTTTACGCCGAGCGGCTACGCCGCCGGCAATACGACCCGCCGGCACAAGCCGTCAAGCATCATTCCGGTTGTGAAGTGCTGCATTTCTGGGATTCAATAATATATCATTTTCATGAAATTTTTCAATTAAGAGCAGCACAGCTTCGTCGTCCCAATTAAACGACATTTTAATTTGTTTAAACACACAAACCGCACAACACTACCGCTCGAATGCCAGGAACGAAGTGACGCCGGCAAGCCGCGTAACCCGCCGGCACACCACGGCGGCTCCTTTGCGCGGCAAGGCCGGCGGCTTTGTATGCCGCCGGGTGTACGGCGGCCCCGCCGCCGGCACTGTGTGTAGCAGCCTTAAGTAACAAAATGTAAATCTTACAGGAGAGCTATTTTTCGTGATTGTGTTATGACTAACATTTCTGAGAAATTTTGGACATACAATGCTTTACCGGAGAAAAAGTATGACGAGTCCGTGAAAGTGGACTTATATTTTTTGCTGGCATTGGCGTTACAGTAGTTATTAAGTGTTCATCCGCTCTAATCGCAGTTCTGCAGCGAAATGACGCGCCTCAAGTGGTTACGCCTAATATCGTTCAAGACCAGTGGTGGGGGACCGCTTGCGCAAGGGACTTACAATACCTTTGCATGCAGTGTAGGTGACTATGACCTACAATTTCGTGTTAAAATCTTAAAAGTGAAGAATTTGCACATACAATAGTTCTGCATTCAGGCGACGAATTATTGTGTCTTCAGTTAGCGTGCCTACTTTATCAGTTTTGCATTTCAGTGTGAAATAATCTTTTTTTTATAAACTGTAAGCATCATCTGTGGCCGTGAAAGAATTTCAGCTCTAAATATGTATACATAAGAGTATGAAGAAATCTCGAAGAACATTTTTATCTTCGCACCAAAAGGGGATAGACACATCCGCTTTGTTTCAAAATGTGTATAATAACGTATGTTTTTCGAATATCGTATTGCGTCTGTTCAATTTTACACAAATATGAAATGTTTGAATTTGTTTAGAAGAAAAAAATATAACCCTTCTTTTTTCACATAACAATAACATTTATTTTACGAAATGGTTTGTGACTAGTATCAGCGAGGTAAACTAGTGTATTTTTTGCTATAAAATGCCCTTTGATAAATAAACTAGTAGTGATGGCCGGAAGACAGGTGTTTTGGGATAAGTAATTAAAAATTCTCAAAAACTACTTGACCAATCTACTCCAACTTTGATGTGCTTATTCAAAAGTATGATGCCTACGAATTTTGAAAATTTCAAGTATCTGCGTGAAACTATCCTCGCATTACCCCGTGCCAAAACCTGCATTTTGACTCGATTTTCGGCCATAACTTTGTTGCTGTTAGTTAGATCTTTCTACGTGCGGCCTCATTTTGTAGGTCTCGTAAATACCTAAAAATCTTATTGTAGATTTTTTTCGTGCTATAATATTTGAAATCAGAATTAATAAGAAAAGTCAAAATTGAGACGGGAGATAGGAGAAGAAAAATCATATTGCATATGCCACATTGCAGGAATCAAAAAGCGGCAATGTCAATGTGCAGTTTATTTTAAAATCCTATCTCAAAGAAATTCAGAAAAAAACTAGAAACGATTTTTGGAAAATAGTTCTCAAATGCATTTTCCAAAATATTAAATATGCAACTTTGAAACCATTCAACCGACCCGTATCTTTTGCCGTTTCTTGTGAAAATGTAAAAAATTTCTTTTTCGAACCATTCTAGAAAAAACTAGGTACATATCCTACATAATCTATAAATCTTTTTTTAGCTATATGTCATATACTCTCAACTTGCAAACGACCAAAAAACAGAAGGAAAGATACCAAGCATGTGGATATGATTTGTGGAACTTCCATAAACATTTCTTTTGAGCTGGGTACGCCCTTGCCAGGAACCACTGTCCATCTTTCTATGTTATTTCACACAAGTAATTTCATTAAAGTAATTACATGACTTTTTAGATATTTGATACGATGTGAAGAAATGAGGCAGTCATGCAGGATGGTCATACAGTGCATAAACAAGATGCCAATGGGTGAAGTGAAGACAGACGATCACAAAGTTACACCACCTACTAGAGCTGAGATGAAAGTAGGTTACTTCTTCATTACTTGTTACAGTATTTTCTATCCTAAATAAAACCGACAAAAAACCAGACAATACAGGAATCCTATACAGGGTCTCCCAATATTCAGTAGTATTTTTAGAATAAAAATAAGGACATGAATAACCTCTATGCAAAAGTGTTTCGTTTGTCCGTTAAAGAGAATTTAAATGAAATTTCGAACCCATGTGTTTTGCTGGACGTAATAATATTTGACTCTTACAAAAATTTACTTTTATTCCATTGTGTTACCTACTGCCCAATTTGTAGGATACACGGATGATTCGCACGTGTATCTAACCCCCAAGTAAGCTACGATTCGGAGTGTGGATTTTTCACAAAAAAGGCAAGAACTAGCGAATCAAGCTCTTACGTAAAGTTGTATTGTACTTTTTGCAGGCATCAATGGAAAGTGTGATTCATCACTTTAAACTATTTTCCCAAGGATTCCAAGTGCCTCCTGGGACCACCTATGCCTCTATAGAACATCCTAAAGGTAAGCATTTTTCGTACATTTCCTTTTAACTTTTGTGAAGAACTGCGTTGAATGAACTATAATATGTATATTTGAATTAACTAAATTACTGAATTGGCTCATGATACAGAATGATTATCTTAACGTTTGAAAAAAGATGTTATGACCTACCATATTATCCATACGGAAGGTGAAAAAGTATTATTTTTGAAAAATATGTCAATACAATGTCATAACCCTCTTGGATCAATATAGAGAATATAATAATAATATCTTTATTCGATTCTTTTACATAATATGTCCAATGTACAACAATAGGCATTGATAATGACTAAATTTTTGAGAATCGAATCTGTGGACTATTACCATGATGGTATTTTTCAATTATTCAACCGTACATCCTAATATGAAATTGAACTTTTTGAACTGCACAAAAATGAATAATCAAGTGATCAGCGATCTATTACTACAGATTTATATGTAAAAGTAGATAAAGACGTCGTATGTGTCCAATGTATGTCAAAACTATCAAGGTAGATTGGGTGACAGAGCATGAGGGAGTGATTGAGCCGTATTCATAAAAGGGAAGCATATCCTCGGAAGCATAAGGTAAAAGTATAAGGTCTTGCTCCGGAGAAAAAGGTAGAAGTATAAGCATATCCATGTTTTCATATTCATAATGATTACCTTATACTCGCGAGGATATCCTCCAAGAAGAAGTAAAAGATTGACTGGTATTTGTATCTTGAGCGACATGTCCTGACTTGTAGTTGACAAGGGAGTTCGTTCACTCAGCATCACTGATAGTTGTACTCCAGAGCTTACACAGACCGTTCCGTATTTTTACTGGATACAGTTTTTTATCAAACGACCTGCAGTTCATCGCAGATGAAATTGCCATTGCTCCCATCATTTTGCAAAAGTCACAAGTTCCAAAAATAAAAATGAGAAAGGACGATGCCTTGAAGAAGATGTTGAAAAAATACGAATCAATATTCGGTAAACCATTAGATACTAAAGGCTTATTAAAATCAACAACATGAAATCAAGATTGAAGAAAAAAAAAACAGATCTAAAAAAAAACTGGTAATAAAGCAATAAAATTGTTAGATTGGGAAAGAAAGTTGCTGAATGCTATGGAAGGTGACTGTAATCCTACAATTGGGAAAATTAGAGGTGCTATTCAGGTTGGTAGTGTTCAAGAAGAAGGAAGTGAACTATATACCGAACGCAGTGAGTAAACAGTTAGTATTACAGCGCCAGCAATTCAGAAGACATTGCCACCAAAAAGAAAATTAGCAACAGAGAAATACGAAACTGAGGATACCAAAACTACTAACGAACTGCGACGTCTAGTGCTATTACAGCAGTACCAAACAAGTATTTTACAACAAGAGTATTATAAAACGAAATTAGAAATGATACAGCGTCAGAAGGTACCAGTAACTTATGATGTTCACGAAAATAAAACTTATTATAACTTATAAATACACTTTAATCAGTAAAACTATTTATTAAAATTCTTTCTTCTTATTTGTTGACCTAGTAGGCGGAGAGGAAGTTCGTCATTCTCATGATTTCCTTCATCTGTGTCTTGTTCAACTAACTCAAAGTCAGGATCGCCCAAGCTCTTCGCATTATGGAGTACAATACAAGCAATAATTATTTTCGGCACATTTTCCAACTTTACGCGGAAAACATACTGTAGGATAGGAAACCGACGTTTCAGTTGGCCAAAACAGCGTTCAATTATAACTCTTTCTTCTTTTAAAAGCTTATTATAATTTATTTCTGCACCTGGAGTATGATTTCTGATGGGAGTCATAAGGCATGACTCAATACCATAACCGTCATCGCCAGGTAGTACAAAATTTGCTTTATTTATTAGTTGTGATCTAGTCTGTGAATATCTCCATATTCTGGAATCATGCACTGATCCAGGCCAACTGACATCAACACTTATGAACATCTCTCTGGCATCACAAGTGGCTTGCACATGTAAAATAGGTTTCCCTTTTCGGTTGATATACTCATCTCCATGGCGATTTGGTTTCAGGATTCTTATATGTGTACAATCAATTACACCAATTGCTGTCGGAAATTTATACATGCTTTGCCATATCCGCTTGGCCTCCATCAGTTCATGGGTGGTAGTTGAAAACTTGATCCATTCGTTCGACTGTGCAACTATGCTGTTCACACCTCTATCCACAGTCCGAGATACCGTTGCTTGACTAACATCAAGTTCCTGACGAATACCTTGTTGATATCCAGGTTCACCGAAATAGCGTAGACATATCTTCATTTTATGAATACATGAAAGTGCTCCTCCTCGAGTTTCCTCATTCTTAACTAAAAATTTGCCCGAAAGCCATTGTACATTTGCTTCGTCGATATAATTTTTTGAAGTCACGACCAAGTGAAGGTAAACGAGGTTTGTATATTTTAACATCCCTAACATCCACAATTTCCGCCATCATCGTTTGACCACTTTTCGTTACGAAGTTGAGTCTGCTACTGACTACACTCAGAATTTTTGAAGGATATGCCAAGTAAAACGGTGAAGATTATGAATAAATTTTTACTTATGTCACTGCTTTGAAGGCTATGCTTATACTCAAAAAGCAAAAGCATTTACTTCAAATTATTATAAATACCATCTGGAGGATTTCCTTCAAAATTTGCAAGTAACATACAAGGATATCCTTTGTTTTATGAATAGGGCTCATTATGTTCAGTAACCACGACTTCAGCTTCTTTTTAAAATTATTCAGAGTATAATTTCGGAATTCATATGGAAGATTAATGCATAACTTGGCAGCAGTATGAGAAAAGCTCTTTTTGTAGAGAGATGTAAAGTATTTAGGTATAGCTAATAATTGTCGGTTCCTGGTAGCCAAGTTCCTGATGTTTTCAAATTAATTGAGTTTATTTAAATAATATTCTGGTTTCTTATACACTAAACTTTTATAAACCAAACATAAACTTTGGTATTTCCTGAGACTTTCCATGTTCATTTTACAATTCTGTTTGTACGCCTGGCTTATATGACCAAATTTCCGTATACCTAGAGAAAAACGGTAACAAGCCGTTGTAACTTGTCTTTATCACTTTTTATTACAGCTGGGCCATATATCGTACACTTGCGCAGTATGAAACTCTCGAAATTATAAGAGCATCACACGATAGCATTTTCAGTTTATTGTTTAATACGTTTCTTCGAGGATAGATATTTGTTTGAGAATACTTTATGATTTGAACATATTTATGTGAATCAGGTAAATGAATAATGTTTTAACACTTATAGTAACTACTTTTTTTAGGTGAATTTGGCGTTTACTTGATATCCGATGGCAGTTCGATGCCATATCGGTGTAGGATTCGACCTCCCGGGTTCATTCATCTCGCAGGCATGGACTATTTATGCAAAAATCAGTTTTTGGCTGATGCTGTTGCAGTTCTGGGTGAGTTTTTATCTACGATAGCTTTGAGAGAATAGAGAAAATAGATAACAAAAAGTCAGGAATTGTTTTTACTTCCCACGCCTACACGAAGAATCATGTCACTCATTTCCGTTGGTCTGTCTGTCGGCCTGTTATGTTATGTAATGTTATAACCGCCTATAACTTGAGAAGTACTGCTCCGATTTCGATGAAATTTTTACACAATGTTACGACTTTGCCAAGGTTGCATATCTGATAATTTCAAGGCTTACCTGGGAAATTCTGTTTTTTAAATAACTAAGGTTTGGAAATGCTAATGTATGACGTATTATACATTTTTGGAATCATAGTTCAAAAAAACTATTTATCTGCGCAAAAATCCAATATGGCCACCATAAGAAAAAATAAAGTTGATGCAGGAGGACAAGAGACGAAACGTCATATTGAAATTCTAATTATGCCTTGTTGTCGAAAAGAAAAAGTGGTAATGTTTAATGTGCAATTTATTTTGAAATCCCACTACAAATGAAGTTATGTAATAATTAAGGCGATTTTGGGAAAATTCCGTTTCTTCCGCCTCTCCACGGAAGGACTTTTAATTTCAAAACTTTCTAAGTGGCATTTTTTTAATTATCTAAATACGCAACTTTGCCGTATCTCTTACAGTTTCCGAGATCCCAATGGTGAGGTTCGAATTTGAAACACCCTGTATATTATGAACGTACGGAGTGTAATTTAATGAGGTTATTTGTGACGTAATATTACACGGTATAGTAGAGAAGTACGTATCAAGAGCTATTATAATCAGTTATCAAACATTTTTACAACAGGAGCTTTACACCAGAGCTCCAAAAACGTGAGGGTTCCATGTACGGACATTTCATGAACAGTCCAAATAGTGCACTGCTGGTTCTGACAAAATCTACGTCTTTGGAGGCGTGGAAAGTATAGATATAGTCAATTTACTTTTTTTTCGCAATAAGGGAGCGGCAGGGGTATTATGTAGGTATCTTGAAAAGTGACATTACGTTGGTTTTTTGACATTATAGTTTTTTTGTGACATTATGTAGGTTTTTCTACAAGATGTCATCTTAACACTACAGTTGCATACTTGGTATCTCTCAGCTGTCAATGCTTAAGTCTCATGGTGCATAGTGTGTTAATAATTCTGTGTTGATGATAATTCCCTTGGCTCACAGCCACTTTTTCTTATTCACCCTGAGAATTACATATGCAAATTTGATGAATTTCAAAAACGAGGGGATAAGAAAAGAAAATCCCTAGATGGTGAAATATATTACAACCAACATGTGAGAAAATATGCCACAGATATTAATATTTATGAAACGTGAATAAGTGATTACATTTTAAACTGTTTTTCAGTTCCAGTCAGTGCGAAAATGTTTTGTATGTGGTTCGTCATTCCTAATTCTTCTGTGATGTGGCTTAATTACACACAACGCGGACGCGGTGGTGATTTCCCGTTACGCTTCTCAAAGTTTTTTAGAACGCAAAAAAGTAGGGAAAATCTTAGTTTATAACCTTGAACATAACATAACCTTTCCTCAGAGAGGACGACACATATAACACCTCTGGTACAGCAAATAGTTATACTCCATGGGTAGCATATACAGTAATAATTTTCTTACATAGCAAATACAACTGATTTTATCATGCAGACCAATACACACAATCATCCAGTTGCGATCTTGCTACTCTGCTACCCAACCAATCTTTCTTCTGTCACATCCTGTCAGAGATATACTCTACGGACTATCTCGGCATTATGCAACCAATAAAGCATACTGGGAAACTGTCTTGCATCAAGGTCATTGAGCATGTCGTGTCGTTGAGACATTCCTTCACAGATGACGCTTTTGGTGGCGCTCACAGCGCTGATAGCAGGCAATAGTAGAACAAACTATTTGTACACTAGGAACTATGTAGGCAGCAAGTTGAATTTTGTCGGTTTTTGACATTATATAGATTTTTTACTTAATTACCCTTCCGGTGACAGTTTGATAGTAATTGTTCGGTCATTTTGCGTTATCTTCAACGTTTACCTTGTTCAGTTCAGTCACCTGGCTTATTTGTTACCCGTCTACGATTTACATTGCTTATTGATCCATTATGAATAGAAGCCAACATATATATGGTGTTTTCAAAACATGTGGCAAAAACTTCGAGAGGCGATTCTTTGGGCTATTGTTGACGATTTTCGAATACCGCCTTGTCCCGCGGATATTGGGCCCTAAAGGGTATCATTTGATATTAGTTTTTCTAAAATAACTTTGGAATAACGAGATTTTGACAACACAGTAGCTAGATTATGACCATGGAAAAAATAACTCTCACTATTTTATTAGCCAGGACGGACTAGCTCCAATGCAGTAGAGATAATTTCTTGGCGCTCTGTACAGGGTAATAAGTACATACAAAAACAATAAGAAAGTTTCTAAAAATATGGGTTCTAAGATGCTTTCCTACCGAAATACAGGGTGATGAAGTTTTATTTGCGAAATTAAAAAGAAATATCTACGAAGCGGCTAAAGATACTGAGTAAAGCAGGGACGTAGATGCTGGCCTTTTTGGAGAACAAAATGCATTTTATAAAATAACTTTAATTTTCCATACATTTTGTCTCTTAAGGAATTTTTGTTAGATCGCTCGTTTTGGAGATATTTAGGTTTAAATATTTGTCAGATCCTAAAATATTCTTTTGATAAAGTTTAGCCTCCCCTATTTTGAAAATACCTTGAAGCTTGATATTGGAAACACTATATGGCGTTAGAAGAAAGCTGTGGTATCTCATTACAACAAAAGTTGATTAATATGCGTGTCTTATCCTCAATAGCGTAGAAGCTTATCATTTATTAAATGTTGTCTATACACGCCCCTGATTTTCATGGTGTACTTCTCCTAATATTGCCCATGTTATGATTTTTCTGTTTGTATAGAATCAGACATTGTGGAACCAATCAATTTGAGTAAAAATCTTACTATTTTACTCCTGAAATTATCGGCTTTTTTTAATTCTCTAGCATTTCAAATTGACTGAGCTCAACAAAGAAGATATCACAAATCGCTAGCAACCTCAGACACGAAGTATAAGGTCGAAGTACACAAAAGGCTTCCAACACTGTTCGTACTACGCCAGGTATTTTCCAAAGAGCCTTTGTGGCGTAGAGCATGGGCTTGTGTTGAATTCAAAGGTGGTCACATTCAACACCTCCTTCAGGTTGGATGTTTTAGCATTTATTCAGAATTATTGTTTGTTCCCAATCTCATGTAATTTAGAAATAACCAAGTTGTATCAAATGTAATGTTTATCGTTATCATGTTTAATTGTTATTAGCTTTATTTGTTTTTGAAATGAACGCTTTCATTGTTTTCATGTTTCTTTGTCTATAAAAAAATAATATTCCGGTAAAACCAGTGGCGTGCACAGGAAAGGTTTAATGACTGGTAAGATTCTACGCTACTGATTGAGAATAAGACTCGCATATTATTCAATTAATGTTGTATTGAGGTGCCACAGCTTTCTTCACATGCCATATAGTGTTTCCAATATCAAGCTACACAGTGTTTTTAGAGTATGGGGAGTCTAAACCTTTTCATAAGAATATTTTAGGATGTTACCTCAAATATTCAAACCTAAATATCTCCAAAACGAGTAATCAGACAAAAATTTCCTTAAGAGACAAAATCTATGGAAAATTGAATGGTTTCTTATAAAATGCACAATTTTTTCCCCAAAGAGGCCAGTGTCGTGAAAAATATTTCCAACCGAGTGTCCGAGTAAACCAGTTTCTACGTCTCTGGTTTAGTTCGGGCCATGAAACTCTGTGTTTTTATTGTGTTTATGTGCTCACTGAACGGCCAAAATCCTAACTCAGTATCTTTACCCGCTCCGTTGATATATTTTTTTTATTTCGTAAATAAAGCTTCCTCACTCTGTAGGGGAGCATATTTGGACCCATATTTATAAGAACCTTTTTTGTTATTTTTGGATGTACTTTCTACCCTAGGAATATTGGCATGTCTTTACAAAAAACCCTGTATAATTCTTATTGTATTTCCAAGTTACATTTTTGTTAATGTTTTGAAAGGCTCTGCGATTAGCTGCCTTACCAATGACTAGGGGTTTTTCTTTTTCACCCGCCATATTTACTCAGTGCAAAATTGTAAACATCTCTTTGGGATACTTGATCCCAACACATTTTCCTTCTTCAATGTGACCGTTTTGTCGGGTAGAGCCCTAAAATACAGGCTTGTCTCATCGGCATTATAGATGCCTCTCGGTGAATATCCCTTAATCAAGGAAGGACATTTTTCCTAAAACGATCAAACATCTTCAGCATTAACCGAATCTCCTTATCCCAAAATCGCTTTAAAACGTATATTCTTGCGAATTCTAAATTTATTGAGCCAACCGGAACAATCACTGAATATAAAATGTCCCAGAGAATCAGCTATTTCTTATGCTTTTCATGGTATTAGCAGACCTAAAGAAAAATAAGTGTTTTGTGTTGTAACGACAAATCTGTTGATATTTTCACTCTTCATGTCTATTTTAGAATTGATATGAAAAGAAAATCAACCCATTAATACAAAAAACCTTATCAAAAAAACTAATATGCATGTCTATATACCGGTCAAATGAATTTCCTTATGACGAGCTGCTATAAACCAGTTATTACATGATTTGTCAATTTTGGTACCATCACCCGCCAAAAAGCCTCTTTTTTCATTCAAATTGCTGCTCCACATCCATTTATTTAGAACAATTTCTTTATGTTTAATTATATCTACAGCTTGTGTTTTTCCAATATTAATACGCTTAAGCGTTAAAACTTTTCTATTTGGAGCCACTGTGTATTTTAGAAGTATTTTGTTGGAAAGATTACTTTGCATTGTGTTTTATCGAGGAAAAAATTAGATGCCCGAATGGTATTTCACAAGACTATTTCATGACTAACAGGTTATTCTGCATACACATAGCTTACAAAATTTATTGACAATAAAATCAGAAAAATTGTCTAGCTTCGTTTTCTGGTGTGCTAGGAGACCATAATTACTTGTTATCAAAGGTATTGTAATTTTGGTGACAACAGCTGTCAAGTTTTGCCGCGGGTAAACTCGAAAAAATTGCTTACTCATACAACCATTTGTAATTAAAAATTTCTCATTGGTGATTGGTAGGAATTAGGAAGGGGAAAATAGTCAACAGAAAAAAATAAGTTTCTTTTTATTTTGTCTTTTGTCCTGTTAGGGCAGAACTGTCCGTTTAAAGGATGTGTCCATGTAAGAGGGGTGTTTACGAAGGGGAATTTCACTGTACATGGTGCCAGGATGTTCCGGAATTAACTATATTTATTTGATGTTTCAGCTTCTCTAGATGTGGTATTTGGTGATATCGATAGATAACTTCAGCTTACCTTTTGTTAATAATAATCAAAGCTAATAAAATATTATGTACGAAAATGTGCCTTATTATTTTATTTGTAGTATGTCTACGATCTACAAGCAACCATATAATCTCACAAAGATAATAAAGGTCTTGGATTAGAGAACATCAAGCGAGAGCTCTCAAAACTTAGCATGTTAGACTGATGTGTCTAACACAAACGCCCACACATACACACACACACACACACACAAGCAGATTTAACGTAACACAATGGTAGGAGGTATGAAGATTGTACCTGGGAAAGTCCGAGTCTTTACCCGTTTTGCACATACAAGGTCTGTAAATTAAGTAATGAGATTTTTATATCGTCACCCTAAAAATAACTTTCTTCTGTAACCACCCAGAGCCAGTGATGGTTCTTCCACTTCTCATAGCAGTGCTGGAACTCCGATTCTGGAATAACCTTCAGCCGGCCGGTTACAGCCGCTTGAGTGTTTTCGACTGTCCCAAAATAAGCTTCCTTGAGATCATTTTCCAACTTCGGTAAGAGTAAAAAGTCACAAGGACTCAACTCAGGCGAATAAGGAGGCTGATGAGTCACAACGATGTATTTACTGGTCAAAACCTCGTTTATTCACATTGCTGTGCAATAAGGAGCATTATCGTGGTGTAACACTCAGTTGTTCTTCATGTTTGGTCTCACACGATTGACCTATTTGGCCTTGAGGTAGAAACTCTTTGTGGGCGATTCCGTGGATATCGAAAAAACAAATCAGCATGCGTTTGACCCTCGACTTCGCCTTTATTGTTTTTTTGGGTCTTGGAGCGGTTGAAGTATGTCACTTCATGGTGCTTGGCTTCTGAGTCGAACTCAAACACATAAGACTCGTCACCAGTAATGATACGTTCCAGAAAGTGGAGATCATTTTCAATCCAATCCAAAAAGACCAGGCACCTTTTCTTCCTCACGTCTTTGCGTTTTGCGAACGGTTTTTTGGGACCATGTTTGTGTAGGTTTTCCTCACCCAATTCACTGGTGAAAATCTGATGAAAGGTGGTATGAGTCAAATTTAACTCTTCCCCGACCATTCTGACTATGAACCGACGATCTGAGCGTACAAGATCCCGGATTCTGTCGATATTTTTATCGGTTCTTGAAGATGAAGGTCTTCCGCTTCGTGGTTCATCTTCAATCGACTCTCTCACTTCTGAAAATATCTTAAACCACTGAAAAACCTGAGCTCTTGATGAAATTTGTATTGTGAATGCTTAGTATTCCGACTCCTTGTCTAGTCGACCGTAATGGCAGTACGACATCTATCTATGCATGGCACTGGACGTCAAGAAGTTGTGGGCCAAAGACGTAGCGCACCGAGAAAACGTGCTCAATTGAACAGTTGTTCTGGAAAACTTAGATTTTTTTTTTTTTTTTTTTTTTTTATACTCCAACTACCACGAAGGCCTAAGGCCTAAGCACCCATTGGGTACCGTGGGGCTATGGGGGATACATGGGAAAGGGGGGGACGCCACACGGACTCTGGCGAGGGAACACGTGTGCATGCAACATGCACACATTCTGGCTCCGCCTACGAGAACCGCCGGGTGGTACCTCCGCGTTCGACAGTCAGAGACCATCTACCACCTACGGACAATCACAACATCCATGGCCAAGAGAAACATTTCTCCTGGGACGGGACTCGAACCCGCACAGCGCACGGCGGCTGATCAGGAGACCGAAGGGTCTACTACTGCGGCCACCGCTGCTGCCTAAAACAAACACACAACATCCATGGCGAAGGCGAGATTCGAACTCGCGGCCCGGCCGGCCGGCTGATCAGTAGCACGACACTCTGACCCACGCGGCCAACCGAGGTCCCGTAATACATGTTTTAATTACTCTAAGTTACTATTCGGTTCGCTTGAACATAATTTTTCACTTCCATATTGTCTTTGATTTATTAGAACATTTTGGTGAAATACGGACAGAGCAGAATGCTTTAAACAGAGCTTGTACCAGACCTATATCTTCTGTTTGAAAAGTTGATAAAACCTTTAAAACGACTATTGATGTGTTGCTTGTCTTAAAATATTGGTTATGACATTTAACCAAAAAAGATAATAATGATAATAAACAACTTTTATTCAGGCGAAGTTTAGCTACAAGGTATTCTACCACTTAACCCTTGAAAATAACTAGCATTAGAATATTGATAACAATTTTCTTCCAAAATTTAAACAAAAATTACATATTGAATACAACATACTCATGTTTAAAAAGAAAGAAAAGACTATACACGCTTTATATAATATGCAGGAATATGGCTGAACTATATACTGAGGATTTCAAATTTGAGCTTGAAAGATATGTTTAATTTGCTTTTTGAAATTATTGAAATCAAGATGTTTAGCAGACGGGGGTAATGCATTATATAGATTGAGGGCATTATGGGCAAAGCATTTATGAAAGGAATAAGTTTTGTGAAGAGACATAGTTAAAGTTCCAGTGAATCGAATGTTTCTTGAATGGATACATTTACGAGATATTAATTTATTTTTCATAAATGAAGCAATCGAAGTATGTTGGACCTTGTGAACATATAAATGAAGCTTATACAATTTTGCAATATTCAACCAGTTCAGCTGTTCGAAACATGAACTAATATGATTATATTTCCCTAAGTTGAAAATCAGTCTACAACATGAACTTTGAATTCTCTGTAGACGTTTAGCTGAAACTGAATCTAGAAATGGATAGTATATTAAATCACAATATGTGATTTTTGATGTTATTAAAGAATCACATAAATTTTTTTTGGAACTAAAGTCAAGTATTTCTTTATTTAAGTATAGATTCCGCAAAACAGTAAAACAATTTTTAGTTACATGACTTACATGAAAAATAATTTTGAGATTACATACATATGGTCCGTAAGTCTGCTTGGATTGCTAATTTTCGATAGTGGTAAAATCAGAGCTTTTTTCTGAGAGATACACCATCAGTATCCAAGGCATTCGATTTCAACAAATGTAGTAATGAGAGATCTCAAATATTTATGGGCTTAAAACTAAACTATAATGACTAGAATAGCGATGTTTTTCATAGTATTGACTTTTTCCTTTGCAGGTGTGAGGTTTTTTATCAAATACTGATCATCGTTCATTTCTGTTACATGTTGTAAGTGCACAGGGATCCCATTATTTTTCGAATTTTGCAATCGCATTGATTTCAATGCTTTGTAAAAGGCAGCTGAGTCGTTTGGATTATGAATAAATGATAAATAAGCTTGTTTCTCAGTTCTAATTTTAGCTAGTGTTGCATTACGCAGTTGTTAATATTTAATCCAAGACTCTTCAGTTTTGTTAATTTTGAACTTGAGCTTTATTCTTTTTTTTTTCATCATAAGCTTAAGATCTGAAGTTAACCAAGGGGCAGCCGGTTTATTAACCCATACAGATCTTAATGGTACAAGCTTGTCAAAGATATACTCGATTCCATCATTTAGATACGCAACTTTCTCATTGATCATAGTCTAATCATATTAGACGAAAATACCCCTGGTTTGCGAAATAATCGTGAAGTTTGGTTTTATTGCTTGAAGTTGTTCAGGAGGGTATTCAAAACATGATCCCATAAAATGGGTACACCAATTTTTGTGGGAAAACCTTTTATTCGACAACAAAGAATGAGAAAACGTGTTTTTTGGGATTCAACCGAAGGTATTGGCAGGAACGAAAAAACTCTTCATATACGATTTTTAGGTATTTACGAGACCTACAAAATGAAACCACACGTAAAAAGATCCGACTGATAGCAAAAAAGTTATAACCGAAAATCTAGCCAAACTGCAGGTTTTGGCACTTGTTGGTAATGCGATGATGGTTTCTCGCAGATATTTGAAATTCTTCAAATTCGTAGGATGCGTAATTCTAAATAACCACAACAAAACTGGGGGCATTTTATAGCAAAATACAATAGTTTACCTTGTCGATATGAATCGCAAACCATTCCGGAAATTAAATGTTATTCTTATGCAAAAAAGGATGGGTTACGTTTTTTCTTCTAAACAAATTCAAACATTTCGTATTTGTGAGTAATTCGCAAAAAAAGATGATAGACACATCCGCTTTGTTTTAAAATGTGTATAGTAAGAAACGTTCGTTTTTCGCATAAAAATAATGTTTATCTTCCGTAATGATTTGCGATTAATATCGGCAAGGTAAACACATATATTTTGCTATTGAATGCTCAATAAACTAGTAGTGATAGCCGAAAAACAGGTATTTTGAGATAAACAATTAGAAATTTTCAGAAAACTACTTGACCAGTATACTCCAATTTTTTTGTTGTCAGTGGCGAAGCGTCCATGTAACCATTGTTAGCATTGGTAACAGCAAAAAATCTTACAAATAAATATTTTATGACTAAGTACTGTGAAATAATTTCATTTATTTGTTTACCAACAGAGATATGTAATAGTAATTCAGTAAATAGCCAATTAGCCCCACGCAAATAATGCGCCCTATACTGTCTGTTTTGCGAACACGATGAAGCTGACTCGCCTGACTTGGTTGTCGGTTGTTACCATTTTCATTTATGGATACACTTGGTAGTCTGTCGGGAACCGTCGGAGCCGGCTCGTGTCTTATCGCGGTCGCCCGAGTGCGTGGGGCGCTGCGACTATTATGTGGGCTTGTTACCATTTTTTGATTAGGTTACTCACTTATCACTCGTTAGTAGCCGTTTTGGTTACTGGCTGTAGTATGCGTGCAATTAAACATGGATGAGTGTCGCTGCGTAATCGATCAACTACCTAGTTTGATATTTTAAATTAAGTTGGTATATGGAAACTCCTGTTTATGTGGTTGTAAAAAGACAGATTGTATTGTTGGCGATGTCTTCTGTTTTAGACAGAATAAAATGCAGCGGAGACAACGATTTAAATAGTTTTAGGGCTCTAAAGAGGAGACATGAAATTTTTCCGTTACATGTGAGATGTGTAGTCAATTCAATTCAGTTTGGCAAAACAAGAATCGAAAGTTGTCTTAACCAAGTTTTTAGGCAGCA